TGATAAGTACCTTAGATGAGTTGGAATCTTCCTATTACACAGTTTGACCTTTCGACCCTTGACCCTTACTCTTTTCCGGATCGTTGATCGGTTCGATTTTAAAATATTGATATTTATAAGTAGATCCTACGTAGATATTAATATAAATGAAAGCACAATATAAACAAACATAGTAACAAATGAAATACACTAAATTCTTAAACAACATAAAGAACAAAAAATGAACAATAAACACAATAAAGAGCACAAGTTCATTTCATTAGAAGTTCATAAATTACACTTGCAGTTTACGAATAACAAACATTCAAAATTCTTATGATCGTTCAAATTATCTAAATTTAGTTTTGCATCAAAATTTCAATGTTTAATTGAATAGTTAGTCTTCTTGAAGATGGATCGTAACATAAATTCTTTTGAATTTTCTCATGTCATGTTAGCTTGTATAAATTGGATTATTTTTGAAAATAATATTGAAAGATTATATATTTCCTAGTTATCTTTAAGCATGTTCTTGTTGACGAATACTGATCGATTATGATGCTTACTACTTTTTTTTATTTCCTTGTATTATCAAATATTTCTTTACACGTTTTGAAGGGTTTGTTTAGAGTGTTAATTTTGTCATGAAAGCTTGTGAAAATGGTTCCAAGTGTTCCACTCGTAGCTCAAGTGATCAGTTCATGCACCAAAATATAACCGACACAAATTGTCAATAGTAAAAAGTAAAAAAGAAAAAAGAATAGCTAGGTCAACTTCAGAACATTGACCTCCAAATATATTTGTTAGCACTTTTAGCCCGACACATGTCAATACAATTCAAAGTTTGTTTAATTCATTCTTTATCTAGTTATTAAACACAAAATAATCAAACTATTCCTAAAATTAAAGAGCACCACTTGGCTCTATAGCCCCTCTTTGACACCAATTTCTTCTCATTCTCGTTTTTTTTTTCTCTTTTTTCATTTCAACCACATATTCTATCAATAAAATAATACTACACAAAAATCCAAAAATTCTCATTACTTTTCAGTCATACATTCTTCCATCAATCACTATTTCAGAATTTATTTTTTCTCCAAAATGGGTGTCAAATAGGGGCATAATATCTACACTCTCCTAAAATAATGAAATATTACGTCTAGAACAAATAAAATAAATAGAATAATAAAATAGAAAGCCTAACAAGTTTAGCCCATTATTGGGACAATCATGCTACATGTACATTATTTTTTACACAACACACCATTGAATAGTTTGAAAAAAAACACAGCCCACAATTTTTTGAAAATAAAAGAGATGTCAAAAATTATGTAAGGCAATAAATGTACATTTCAGAGAAATATTTGAGACATGGTACAG